GGTCAGCAGTAACTTGTCGCTGGTAGTTATCATCGTCGTCTCCACGCGATCATCCACCTCTGGCAAGTGTCCAGTCACAACCTCAATCGTGAGGGTGGACAAGTCGATCAATGTCTCGATGGAGAGCGCAATCTGGCCTTACTTAGGCGGCACGACGCACAAGTATTTCGCGACCGCCTCCTCGTCGGTGATGGTGACGTCGTGCGCCGCCAGCTGACTGACGAGCGACTGCTGACGGAGCGAAAAATCTTCCATTGCCTCGCCGTCGCGGAACGCCAGCGCATCATACTCCCGCCGCAGTTGTTGCGCTTTCGCCTTCTTTGCGCGATCAGACCCGATGCGCATGGCCTTGAAGGCATCCCAAGCAGCCTTTGCGGAGTCCTTTGCGCCCAGCGAATCCACGTACTCGTGAGGCACAGCGGACAGAATCGCTTCCATCGCTGTGCAGTCCTCTTCTTCACCTCGGTGCCTTCTTCGTGGCCCGCCAAAGCTTGCGCGCACGCAACTTGACCTTCATCAGCACCGCCCACTCGCCGTAGTTTGAGCGTGTGAGGACCGGCCAGTTGGCCCCACCAACGTCCTGCACGGTCCTGTATATGATGACCTCCTTGTGCGGAAAAGCGTCTGCTCCGCTCCCTTGCACCGTTGACGCAGCATCTTGGCTTGCCATGGCTCTGATACCAATTCTCGTTCACAGCCTACTGTTTCAGGTAAGCAAAAATCCTTCCGACACAAACGAACACTTTTAGGACGGGAGAAGAAGATTGTGAACAACTCAATATATTGAGTATTCAGTTTTTCTATATATTTACAACTAAAAATTGCATCCCTATTTATAAGAACTAAAAAACAACTATCTTAGTGGCTTTCTTAGAAATTACTTAAGCTGAAAACTCAGCCTAAAATGGCTGCCATGAAAATGCTCTGCATCTGCAAGGAAGTTGCAGTGCAGTAACAAGGAAAGTGCATGGATTATATCTTACATTGCACGGCTTTTGGTACAGTCAGCTTCATACCCTGATGTCAAGATGCCTGCGCACCCGATCGGATTATTTCACGCTTAGTGAAGATTTGCTTATTGTCATGCAGTTGCCTAGCAATTATGATACAATGAAGGTTGAAAAATCCATGGCGTATGCCTTTTCTTCTCCAACGGCGAACAAGAGGCAAATAACTCGTGATTCCATGATTACAATCCCCATGCAATAATCAATGGTGTACTTTTTTACAAGGGTCGTAAACTGGGACCTTTCTCAATTCAGCCTTGAGAACAAGGTTGTTTTAGAGCAGGTAGCAAGATGAAGAATGAGAAAGATATTAATTTCAGGACATCTTATACTGATTTTTACATCATAATCGTTTCTTAATTTTAGGGATTTTGATTGACTTATTATTCCTTAAAAGCTATTATACCAATGATATATTATCATTTTATGTGGGCTATAGTTTAATGTGTAAATGTAAATATGGTTTAGATTAGGATATCTGAATAAGGTGATATGTGGATCCCGTAGATTACATTACTGGTTTATTTTTCCTTCCTTACTACATTTACTGGTATACATCTTGTAATCCCTATTATGAAATACAACACATCAATTAACCACTCTACATGGCATCAGAGCGAGAGGTAGAATAGGGTTAGCGTTTTGAAATTTCAGTCGTTTTCTTTGTGGTTCATATCTTTTTTTTTCATGTGAGTTTTGGGTCTCACATTCTGTACCAGCAACTCTATCTGAATGCTAAACTAACAGAATGCTAATTTTAGGCACGCCCATTTTCGTGACGGCGGGATGCTGAAAAAATTATTGGTAAGATTATACAGATTTTCCCTATAGAAAAAGATTTTAGTGGTTTATGCACTACATTATCAGATTCATTGAAGAGAAGGCAATGGCAGACCACGACTAAGGGGTGGTATTTAATTTAAAACTTTTTAAAACTTTAGAAATCCTGGTGTATTCAATTTAGATTTGTTAAGATTTTTAAAGACTTTAAAAGTCTTGAGGTATTCAATTAGGATTTTTAAATGTCCTACAAAATCTGGGTGTTTTAAATTTATTTGAAACTAGGATTTGTTAAGACTTTTTAAGATTTGGTGGGATTTCTAAATAAAAAACTTTATACGAAATCCCACCTCTAGAGTAAGGATTTCACGGAATTTCTCCAAAATCTAGAAATATTACCAAATCTTAAATCTTAAAAAGTCTCTAAGGCCTTTACTATCCCTAGTTGGTTCCCCTGACTGCAGATTTCAAGCAAAATAAATTTACTTTACATTGATAAAAAATGTTTATAGATGTGGCATACAGAAAACTTAAAAGGGAATATGATAATACCTTTTTATTGACGAGAAGAGTCCCCTTAACAGCATAACCGTTATAAAATAAACGGCATTGCATCAGTAAAGGCTGAAACAATGGAACAAAACAGAAGTTACCTTGGGAATGAATACAAGGAATAGTAAGTTAAAACCTGTCAAGAGCCAGTAAATAATAGCTCAAACAATTACCAGCTCCTTATTCCTGTTGTCAGCTTCCCTCTTTTGACTGGCTATTTGCTCAAAGTCGACAAACTAATCATATTTCCAAGGTAATAGCCATAAAAATGTAAAACAAAAAAACAGTTAAACAAGATAATTCTACATGAAGAGGAGTCTTTAGATAATAACTTGAACTATAAGTGAACAAAAAAGTGCCGCCATCAGCTAGCTAAGCTCGCAACTATGACATAATAATAGATTTTCAGACCAATTAAATGTTGTGGGAACTGTTTGCAAGTTTCTACATCAAAATTAAATCATGAAAAAATGTATCCACTCCCTCTTTACATCCTCAAAAACCTTAATAAATCAAATGTGTAACATAATAAGGACAAATTAGCTGGGTTGAAATCAAACTGGACAGCAATGAAAACAGACAGCTGAAAAGAATTTCTCTTGATAAATGAGCTTGGGTAGAACTCATTCCTTAAAGCTAGCTCAAGGAAGAGGATGCCCAACCCTAACTTTTACACAATTAACCGCTAATAGATGTAGGACAAACTTAGCTTCTAACATCTCTCATCATAAAATATAAAATTATTTCTAGGTTAAATATAAGTATATCATGATCTCTTCATGATTTAGAGACTAAATACAAGTATTATGTTCAAAAAGAAAATCTTAGCTAACCTCAAAACTGCTATCTCTTAAATACTTCGCAGCAGAAAAATCTTTTGGGCACTTCATTGCCAGGTCTTCTGAGATAAAGCCTGTTCCGTCCGTGTGTAAAATAGGCTTCCCATCTTCGTCATGGATGATAGAGCCTTTCTCATCCTAAAATTTTAGAACAAGAAAGATGAAGCACACACTTCTATCTGTTTCCAGAATATGAAAAGTAAACCTGACTTGTCAGAGATCTAAGGATAAGAAAAGTTAAAATTAAGCAAAACAAACCGTACTCTAAATGGGATATCCTCAATTATTTCTACTTTAACAGCAGCAAAATTGATTTCCAACTTTATTGTCTTTGAGAGGATCAGCGATAATCTGAGTCACAATGAAGGATTAGAAAATCAAGTTTCTGAATAAACAATTTTAGAAGCTGTCGACAAAAACCATGATAGCTACAGTAAAATCAACCTGGCCATGTACTTTTCTATGGTTGAAAGTGTGTGTATGTGCATGAACAGACACCTTGCTTCACGAATTGTTTTTCCAGATAAAATATAATGTTTGTCCGCATCATTTTGAGATGCAGGGTCAATACGGACAAAGTAGCACTTGACAGCAGAGTAAGTATTTTTGTCCACCACCGCTTTGTTTTTCTTCACTTTCTTGCGCTCATCTTTGAACACTGTACAACGGACACAATGGAAATCCTAGTTACTGAATTTCCTAAAAATACAAGTACCAAGTCATATTATACGTACTCACACTATCGATGGCAGAGGACCTCCCAACGACAGCAAAGATTACCAAGACATACATTGGAGAATTTAAGTTTTGTCTATCAGGAACCTATAACTAGATTCTGAATGTTAACCATTAAAAGCTAATGAATTACAATTTACACCATCAATGATAAATGTATGGCGGAAATTGAAAGAGAGAAGATACTGTGAACAGAGCTGGATAGGTAGACTCAAATGCCTAGACTTGAAATCAGAGTTAACTGAAATGCCTAGACTTGAAATCCTCTAGAACCATAATATAACTTTAATTCATTTTTCTGTGTTTCTGATTACTCAACCAGTTTGGATCTGACAATCAATGTCTACTATGCTGCTTATGCTTGTCAACTAAGCAATTCAATCAGAGTCCAACGTCATCACATATTGACAATGGTAATTGATATGTTGGACGAGTATGAACTATCAGTTCATACATGAATAAAACCATGAGACTTATACTTCTAATGAAGTGCTAACATGTAAATTTGTTATCATATATTCATTAAATAATATGGAACTCACAAACCCTTAATAAAATATTATAAAGATCAACTAAACAAGTAATACAGGACAATGCCTAAAACTAATTATAATGTCCAACTGACAAAGCAAATGAATCATATTAATTTTATGTCAGATATATGGAAGTTTGGGCCTGACTTTGACTGTTTTCCATATTATCCTCTAAAAAAATTGCACATAGAAATATAAGGGAATATGAAAGTAAAATTCCAATTACTGGCAAAAAATAAATACGATCATCACCAAAAAACCGATAGCGCCTCAGACCAACAAGAATTCCTTCGTTCATGATATTGCCTATGACAGATTGCCATTGTTTTGGAAACTTAACTATCAATATGTTATCATCTCCCAATGACCTTTGCAGGTGAGTTCTTGTACTATTTAGATAAGGTCCCTGTATTGTCCAAAAAAAAAAAAAAATTCTGACGGATTAAGAATAAGGTATTACTATGAAATCATGATTATCAAAATCAAGCAGTGCAGATATCGTATGAGCTGCAAACTGTTTGCCCCGACATAGCTAAACTATATACGAACCAACAAAACTACTGATAGAAAGTGCTGCATCGTCATTGTATAAGAACTAAGAAAGAGGAATAATGATTGTAAAATTATTAATATTATTAAGCATAAAAGAGGAAAAAAAAAAGAGCTAGATTAAATATAGAGGCGGGACTAACCTTGAAATAATAACTTCCGTCTTCACAAACATGACAGTAGTAAAGATGGGTTTTTCCTGAATCCCACGCAAAATACTGCAGAGAAAGAACAAAATGGCCATGAAACTGAAACCTTGATATAAAAGATATACTTATTGATGGCGACGAGATCGCATTGGCTTATCTGGACAAGTTTGATCGCCTTCGTATCTAGTTATCTATTATTTATAGCACTTTTATTTATTTTTATTTATTTCCTTTTATTTATGATTTAGGATATCTATTACTAAATAAGACTAGGGTTTGAGAGTCTATTTAAAGGGCATGAGTTCTCATTGTAAAGCAGACATTGATTGAAATAAATTTTATCGTGAGTTCTCTTTGAGAGTTCTTTCCCCATCGTACGTTTCTCCTGCATCACTTATCTAAACTTAGCAGTAATCCTCATACAATAAACATGGCATGCATGTAAACACCGGTGATTATTTTTTACAAGTACATTCTTATCGAGGAAGATAAGTAAAAAAAGAAAGGCACGAAATATTGGTAACACAAACACACAATTACAATTCCGAATTATTCTCTTTCATGATTACAATAATGTGCACAGATTAAGCAATAAATCAATATGTGATATCCCTTTTGGGGATTCTGATGAGACAAGCCTCTCTTCCTGAAATAGCAGTCAATAAAACTGATGACATGGTTGGCTATTAGTTACATTGCAAACAAATGCACATAATTATCATTTCAAATTTCTCATAGACCTCGACACCCATATGTATGTAAAGCTGGAATAACAAACAAGTGCACAAATATTTAATCCAACAAGAACTCTTTACAGATAATGTTTGTAGCAAGCTATAAAAAGAAACAGCCCTGATGTTTTACTGACCTCACTACGATCTGATTCAGCATAAAATCTCTGACCATACGTGTCCCATATTTTAGTCTCGAAATCTTTCATGGGAAGGTCTTTCATGGCATAAATATTTTCAGCACCAGCTAAAGTGACAACAGCTTCCAACTTTTCCCTGGAAAGGTGAAATTGGTTTTAGGCCCACCTAACCCTTATTCCAAACAATGTAATTGATAGAAGGACGAGAAGAAAAAACTAACTTCCCGATGTAGCTTAGAAGTAAAAATAACTTCCTGAATTCCAGCTTGTCGAGGATCGTGAGCTGCTGACTAATTGCCCCCGACCATGTTGTCTCTCTAAATTCACAAGCAAACGGAGATTGAGTATTGGGGCTAAAGCTCATCTTTCCTTGTGTTTCAGAGTTCATCTTTCCTCGACTCACATCTTCGAATGATGGCTGGCAGCTGATATTTCGATGGGCAGTCCTATAGTGACTTGATGAGGGAGAATCCATTGACAGACTTGAAACTGAGTCCTCCAAAGTATCACCATCTGACCAAGAAAAGAATCATTACATAGGGTACAAAGATTAAAACAGAAAAGTTGAAAAACACTCACCGAGTTTTTGGCCGACAATTGAGGGGTTATTCAGAACCAGCCAACGGACATATCCACCGAAGGTCTTGATTGGTTTATTAGAAAACAAAATGGTAGTGAGTACTTTAATAGAAGCTTGCTCCCCAATCATAGCCAGCATCTGTCTAGCGTCATTCCAGAGCGGTGGCTGCTCTCTTTCAAGGCAAATTCTTTCGATCATCATCTCTACGGATTCCGGTAGACGGACCTCCGAATCCCGGCAGACCATCTTGTTGTCTTTTCCTTTCTATTTTTGCCCGTACGTTAGTACTTGTTTTTTGAGTTATATTATGGATGAATGATCTTTCTCTTGAGAAATGGGGGAGAGAGTTTGAAGGAGAAGTAGGACACAGCTTTAGTAGTGACCACTGGTCACATCACATCACATTCATATTATTAAGTAGAATTGGTCAGAAAATGCAAGTGGTGTGGTAGGGTCGTCTTGTCCTTGATTTCCCGCTGTTTTGCTTGTTTTCGAATCTTGTATTTCTTTTTAAGAGCATTGTAGTATGGTAAAGGTTTTTGAAACCTCTTTTTTTTTTCAAATGATGGAAATGTTTGTAAATAAAGAACGAGATTCAATACATATAAAATCTAATACATACAAAATCTACTACACGCAGATTCAATACGTAAATAAAGCATGGGAGTTCAATTTAGGTGAACACTGGGAGTACCACACGCAGGTGGCCTAGATACATACCAACAGAAACAACACCCATCCAAAATCTACTAGGAATCTATATCTATATATATATATATAAAAAGAAATACCATTTTTTAAAAATGACAAGTCAAACTGTGGTCAAATATGGTTGAGCATTAATTGCATGCTATTGATAGCAAATTCTTATTTTATTTTTTATTTACAAACGTGCATCATTAATTATTGCATTTAATGTGGAGTTTGTTAAGTGGAGTTTGTAGTATTTATTTTTGCGCAAGATTAGGTTGTTCCTTTTTTCATTTTCACAAATTAAAAAAATAAAACTTTATTTAACATATAATCGTGTACCACATCCTCCCTATATATAATTCTCGAATGCGCTGAGCCTACGTGGCTGCTTCTGGTGCTTCGGAATCCTATTTGGTGAAGAATCATGCTTCGTAATTAGGTTTGGATAGATAATATTGATATATTAATAATTAATAATCTAGGTTCGGGTATTCCATAAATATTATTTAGTTAACTTAGGTATTTTAATATCACTTTTACTAATATAGCCCTTTAATTTTTTGTAATTTTACATAGTGA